ATCTTGAAGTCAGGTGACAATCCAAATTGCAAATTCCTTAATATACCTTATTATAGTAATAGTTATAATCAAAAATAACCTTTTTATCAATATAAATAGCTTCTATTTATTTAATGATAAAACTGATATGCAAATTACGAAACTGCAAACAACAATTACACTGTAGCTAGTTTGCATAGACAGTATACGTGAATTATCGGTCGGGCCAATCACTTTCTTTTTTCAAGCATAACTGATTAGAATTCATGCAGGCCATAAACTTGTCTGAAATGCTGCTAGTATCTTGTGATCCTTGGTGCACTGTTATTTTTCATATTGATTGCAATTTCAATAATCTTCCTTCCGGTTTGTAATTCCGCCAATGATACGGAAAGTAATCGATTGCTCTTTTATTGACAATAATGCACGTTATTTCCTGTTAAAAATATAATAATCGTGGTTTAATTTTTCAGTCGTTAGTAACTTTTTCTAGTTCTAAGAATTAGAAAAGGATAAAGAGTAAATTAATTAAAGTTAATCTACATTGAGATAGAAACAGGAATAAAGGACGTGGATAATAACTGTTATATATTCTTGACGGACAAGAAATAACGTGCATTATTGCCGATAAAAGAGCAATCGATTATTTTCATGCTGATAAATCGCATCATTCATGGAATCACAAGACGGAAGGAAGATTATTGAAATTGCGATAAATACGAAAGATAACGGTGCATCAAGGAATAGCATAAGAGCTTTGTAAATATATCCGTGCGTTTGTCGATAAATTAGAGGTTCTCAAAAAGTTGAGCAAAAAAAAGTGTCTTAATACAGTGATCGAGAACTATACTTATTTTTTACTTTAATAAAAAAAGTTACAGATTATGCACACTTGCTATGAATGATACTTGTAATTAGTCACTCATTTAGGTTATGCTTCAGAAGCGCAAATATATAATCAAAATATATTTTTAATTTAATTTAAAAGAATTCACTTTATCAAAATTTTAATTTAACAGCTAGTACAGGAATATTGAAAACTGTTTTAAAAAGCTATTATCTTTCAATAAAAAATGTAACAAAAATATCAATAAAAATAATATTTACACATGTATTCCTGAATTACGCTATATTTTATATAGTGTATATAATATTATATGTAAATTATAGCGTAAATAAAAATCATACATGTAATTATTGACATATTTTCTTCTACATTCATCAAATTCACGGTCGCGAAAGTTCGTATCGGTATCAGATAAAATTTGATACATCAAAATTTCAGGAAAAAAAAGTGAATACCTGAAATATTATATTAGTCCGATAATTTATGGTGCAAATTTTTTACGAAGATATGTATAATATGTTTGATTTATAATTTAATTAAAAAAATTGATCTCTCTCTCTCTCTCTCTCTCTCTCTTACAATAACATGAGTAAGAGAAAAAAATATGTATTTGAATATAATATACATATAAAATTTATAACAAATTTATTTATATTATTTTATTTACATACTATATATATAAATATACATACATATTTATACATTTTATGTTTTTGTTTTTATTTTTATACATTTTATATTTACATTCATATGTAGGTTAAGAAAAAAGAATAAAAATGATACTCGTGTAATTAAAATAGAAAAAATCATATATGTATATAAAATAAAAGAATGACATTTACGTTATATGCATTATAAATATTGTAGATAATTCATCATACAAACGTTTCATTGTAACAAAAGAATTTTTTATTGCTGAAATTATCAACAAGATTCGGAAGTTGTTTTTCTTATTAACTGTCTTTCACTTACAGTTAAGAATTGCTTAGCTTGCTAACGACTAAACGCTGAGAATAACAGCCGTAGACTCTCTAACTGGATTGCTAAGAATTAAGCGACACATCATGCTGAAGGCACGTACCGCAATAGTTCAATGTCTGTGGCTATTCTAAGTACTCGCTAGGAAGTACTTAGACAGAAAAGGTGATTATAAGAGACTATAACTTCCGAGCTTTTCTTATCAGTATCTTTTGATAAACTAAATGACTAATGAATTTAAATATTAACACGCGTAATAGATATATGACTGATAAGAGTCTAGATATAGAAAGCTGATATGGACCCAATAAAAGCAGTATCAAATTAAAAATATGCTAGACGAATGTTAAAGGAATCGTCTATCCTTCAGCATTATTCGCTGAATGCGTACTGCTGTTGTATACGCGATCGTGTAAAAGGATCTGTGGCCAGAGAGGCAAGAGGAAGAGACGATACGAGACTTCCACAGCAGGGATGTGAAGCGTACGTGCTGACAGGCGTGTACGGAGACAGGACTGGCTACTAACATATATGGTGGAACGAGGTCGAACGTCTCTCGAACCTTCCATGGGTGATCGAGACTGCGCCGTTTGAACCTATCTCGATGAGCAATGGTTACAAATATCGCTTGATCCATGTCTCATCAGTTCACCATGCGTTTTAACGATATAATCCTTCAATTTTAGGCTGAAGCACATTACGATTAATTATATATGTTTAAAAATTTCGCCTTTTTCATTTATTATCGTTTGAAGAAAATAGAAAAATGAGTTACTTAATTTGTTGGCTGATTATATTATCCTTATTTTCTTGCCGTAAAGTTTAAATGTATTTTAAAAATTGTTCTAAACTAGAAGAATAAAAAATGTTAAGGCTCCTGAGTAGTCACCGCAATCATATTGAATCTTGACGTCAGAAGCGAGGAATGACACGTTAATTTACGTTGCATGCCATTTATAACTAAAGACAATTTGGATAAATCTAAATGATAAGATTGCTTTAAAACATTTGTAAAAATCGATGAAAACTATGCTTATCTCCCCGACAGTCAGTAAATAATTGTAAAAAGTGATAAAAGGTACGTATAAGTGAAAATAAGCTATGCATGTGCATTGAATAAAAGCACTTCATGTGCCTTTTATCACTTTTTACGATTATTTACTGATTGTCAGGAGGGATAAGCATAGTTTTCATCGATTTTTACAAATGTTTTAAAGCAATCTCATCATTTAGATTTATCCAAATTGTCTTTAGTTACAAACGGCATGCAACATAAATTAACGTGTCATTCCTCGCTTCTGACGTCACGATTCAATATGACTGTGGTGACTACTCGGGAGCCTTAAGAGTATGGTACTTGCTCTTCTAATAATCTAGTATTAGGGATTAAGTATGTAAAGAACAAATATGTAAAGAAATACCAAGGCTTGGAATTATGTGGAGGAATATATTTTTATTTTGAATTTATTTTAAAGTTGAACGCTTCAAACGCTGGGAAACGCATTTTATACACAATGAATAGCGTGAATAGCACAACTTTCAAAAAGATCGATATCTATTAATGTATAATATATTAGGTGCAAATGGGATAAATGTGAAAGATCGGTGCAACTTGTCCCACAAATTATCATGTGAGAATGCATAAATGACGCGAGCGCTACAGTGATATACGTTGCAAAAAGATCTTGTTGATAGTTGACAAGCATGTACATTATTATGTTATAAATGTATCATCATTATAAAATTATTAAATGTAATAACACTCGGAAATCTTTTTATCCCAATCTTTTTCTTTTTTGTTTTGTTAAATTTCGAATTTTTAGCAAAGAAAAAATTATTACGGTCTTCCATCGATAAAATGCCGTCTTTTTTGTAGCATTATAAGTATATAATTAATTGAATGTCACAATCAATAATTTTACATTTAAATTTTTTTAATTTTTATTAATTTTTTTATTTTTATTAAAAAATTATATCAAAATATCTTATTAATTTTTAATTTTTTAATTTCTTTTTCACACATAAAAATGTTTTACAATACCGCGAAAAATATGCGAATGTGTAATCCTATGAACATAATAATTTGAAATATATTTTTCATGATGCAATTAATATAAACACAAATGTTCTTTTATAAAATAATAAAGAATACTCATTTAAAAAAATTTGTTCCATTTAGTTATTATTGAAATCAAACATATTGATAGTGACAAATCAGGGACCGAAACACGACAAATTTATCAATGGATGATTTAAAATTAATCTACGTTTCATAATATTTATTTAAAAAAAAATATTCTCAGTTCCGATTAATAATAAAAATATAAAAAAGATATTAACTTCATAACGATATATCTCATGAAATTAATATTTATCTAATACATATATTTGATATTTAATAATTAATTACAAAAATTTAGTCATCTCGAGTTGCTAATAAGATTTAAAAAACTCAGTTCGAAATCCTTTTCGCATTTTATAACAATATAAATAATTAGTAAAAATTAAATCATTATTATCTGGTTCGGAACCAGGGTGGATGAAGAGATTGTCTACTAAATTTGTTAAGTACAGATTCGAAAAGAGCTAATAAAGAAATTACTAAAAATAAAAACATGAAAGATTATGCAAAGCAAAAAAAATAAAGCCATTTAAAGAATATGAACCATAGCGAGAATTCCTTTGAAAGTTGAGTGCCGACGGCTTGAAACAAGTCTATGAGAACGCGTTAACATCTATTCATCTCTCTCAACGTGCTTTTATAATTTATAATGTATTGTTCTCCAGAAAAATTGCCCATTGTTCACTATATAAACGCAACAGAAGTTTGGATTGTGGACAAGCACACCTCGCAATTTATAGAAAAAGAGACGCAAGAAAAAAAAAAGAAGACAGGAAGAAACTTTCGGACGCTGATTTAATATCTAACCGGTTACATTTAGATGATCAAGTCTGATGCAACACAGCGCGGCGCCAAGCACTCGGAACGAAGAGCGTGGGTAACACCGAGGCCTCGCAGAGATCTGATAAATTCGCGCGCGGCGTGTTGCAGCTCCGTCGCGTCGCCTTGCGTCGCACCGCTCCGCGCTGTGCCGCGACGCGACGCCGCGTACCGCGCGAAAACGCGTCCCCCCCCTCCCTACGGACGCGCAAAAGAGGCGTGGTTTATGTTCGCAGCGGTGTGTATAAGAGACAAACCTCCCGAACCGATTAGCAAAGTTCCCCAAAACACACGTAACATCAGACTTTTCCATGTCAACCGAGCCGTAGGAGCGTAACGACCGGACGATTGAGAAAATCGACACGAGACGTAAACGACAACAAAACGGCATATTTTGGAGACGTCAACACACCGTGGAGAGAGAGAGAAAGAGAGAGAGAGGGAGGGAGAAAGAAAAAACAGAGAGGATAAATCGAGATTCTTGAACCCGTTCTCGAGCGACAATCATCAGGAATTCTCGTTGTTTAAATACACCGAGAACCCACACGTCATCGACGATAAGGCCACCGATAGGCGACGTGTAAAAAGAAGAATTTTGCGGTCGCGAGAGAGAAGAATCCGATTTTTTTTTTTTTGTGAAAAGGAATTTCCTCACACGTGGTGGGACCCCTTTCCCCGGTAGCTTTCCGAACGAATTCGTAGACGGGAGCAACAGAAGCGAACCGCGGCGATAACTATACTATATCCGCGACACGGAGCCGGCGTAGTGGTGCGGTGGAGGTGGTGAATCACGGAGACAGGTAGCGAGCCCGAGAGAACGGTTCTCATTTAGGCTCCGATCGTTCCTTGCGTCACATCTCTCGAGGGTGCGTAACACCACGCCAACGTTCGCACACCTGGCTCTCTTGCCCGACGACGCACCAACGTTCGCACGTATACGCACGCACGCACGCATTCATCCAACTAAGCCACTCCATCCGATCGATCGACCGACCACCCACGCACGCACGCGGAGTGCCGCGACTACGTAGACGCGATACGCGGTATCGAACGCGATCGATCGAAGACGCGCGGAAAGAAAGCGCGTTTCAATCGGTCGCAGCTGTTGTCAGCGAACGACACGGTGACGACGACAACAACAACGACATTCTGTCACACGACGTTCGGGGTATCCTGCCCGCTGTCATAACAGAGCCACGTGTGATCGGCTACGACGTGCGCGCGCGCGCAAACGAGTACGGGATAACGCACGCACGCACGTATAATATACATACGCGCGCACCTGCGTACGTAGCCACCCACGCACGCGTCCGCCGGCAGATCAAGGCGCACTGCACGCGCCGGTCGCACATTGACGAGAGAGGAGTCGCGCGCGACCTAGCCGACGGCCACCCATATATCTCATCGGCGTCGCTCGTGAGGGGCACCCGAAGAGGCAGGCCCAACCGAAGCAGCTGGAAGTAATTCTTATTTGACGGGATAAGCGGCCGATAACCCACGACTACGACCAATTTAAAGGCTCGCGCCAATACCAGGCCAAGTCACGACGACGACGACATCGGAGGAGAGTCCCAACGACGACACCCAGCAGCTGGTCGTTTAGAGACACACTTGCCCGCGAGAGAGACGCGAGAGAGACGCGACAGAGTGTGAAAAGCCGCACAGTCGGCGCTCGTCAATTCTTCCCCTTTCCCCCTACTGACGACAGTACCTACGCGACGACAGGATGCCCGGCTTCCAAAGGAGACAGATGATGCAGCCATGGCCCCTATGCCTGCCGCCCTTCGCGAAAACGAAGGTAAGACTCCTGCACGCCGCCGGCCGGGTAACCACCGGATGGCGGAGACCGCGCACTCCCGGCGCCGCTTGTTCTCATCTAGGTTTCTCTCCGTGGCAAGCCGCGTCCGGTTTCCACGGCAGGAGCCGGCCGTCGTCCGCCATCCTTCTCTCCGGTGCACCCGACGGTCACCCTCGTTCACTCATTCTCTCACTCGCTCATTCGCTCTTTCTCTCTCATTTTCTCTTTCCCGTTCTCCGTCTCCTCCTGCCTACCTCTTCCCCACCCTTAACCCACTGGAAATTTCCATTGCACCGGCGGCAAGCGGCTGCCGCCTCTACAGTGCATTTTTTTTTCTCGACTTTCCGGCCGCGACTCTCTTTTCCCGACCTGTCTTTCTTTCCTCTCCTTGCATCACCTCTCTCTCTCTCTCTCTCTCTCTCTCTCTCTCTATCTCTTTCTTTTGCTCCCCTTTCTCTTCTATTGTCTAACTTTGATTAAATTTTCAGTCCCTTTACGCCTCGTTTCCACCAATGAATTTAATTAAAAATTATTTTTCATCTCATTCTCTAATTCTTAGAAAAAAATGAGGAGTTAATTGAACCGAGATTAAAGTTAAACTATTTGGTGGATATTGGTGGAAACGGGCGTAAATCGCGAATGACAAACTGTTGGGTTATGAATAGTGACATTTTTTTCAGTTTAAGGAACGTAGGAATGGATTATAAAAAAGAGCGAAATATTGCGATGTAGTTTTTTTACACGTTAATTAATTGTGTCTTTGAAACTAGGTACCGCGAATTTTTCCTTCGTATTTTTGTCCTACAGTGATTCTTTATGCCTTCTTCATTTTTCGCAAAGAGAAAGGTCTAAAATTTTGTATCTCGTATCTCGATGCATAAAAGTCGCGATATCGAACTGTTATCGTGATTAATTTATCACATTTATTTCGATTCGCACATCCTCGATCTTGATCTCTTCCCTGCGTTGTTCTTATCGTCTCGTGCCTGCAATTCCTGACTGCAGCTTCTATATTTAACGAGCGGGAATCGCATGTTGGCTTGGAAAGTCACGGCTTGTAATGATCCTCTCGATCACAAAATCGCGCTACGTTATATTACGTGCTTTCGCAATGAAAAAAAAAACGTTAAGATTTTAGGTATCATTCAAAACGATCTTAAAACAGCACGGGCTCTTCTGTAAAAAAGAAAAAGGCACATCGAATTGTTATCAATCGAACTGTCGTTCCGTCTCGTTGCAAAATGTCGAAGGAAAGCGTGAACAGGTATAAAGATCGGAAATGGAAACAGACAGATTTCTGTATATGTGTATATAATTTTGCATTCGTTTTTCGATGTAAGCGAGTATGAAACTGCTTCGTACTCGACGAATTCATCTTCGTGGCTCGCCCAGACTCGCCCAGACTCGCCGAAACCATACCGGTTTCGGTCCCCTCGGGGAAAGGCTTCACGAGGCAACCGAAGCCGCAGCTCGCGCGAAACTTCATTGTGGGTTTCGCCCGAATCCACGGTTATTTCATAGCTCGCGATGATTTTCCCTGATCGCCGGACAATCGACATTCGTATGCAGCTCTTACGTCTCGCGAAAATATCGATCGCTGTGCGCGCGCAACCGGCGCATAAGGGTGGACGAGACCATAGTAAATTGGTCACTTCGAAGAAACAGCGTAACATATGCGCCGTATTTCGACCGTGAGATGAATCATTTATGCACGAAAGACCACGCAAAAAAAAAAAAAGAAACGAGTCAAGTCGTAAAATTAAAATAAATAATCGGTTACACGTGCGGCTGACGCGCGTTATTGATAGTCCTGTCGGAACGATGGAATAAAAAAAAAATTGCGCCGATTATCGTGCACCTATCCAGGGTACAGGGTGTGGTGCGCAAGAAGTTACGTAACGGAATGAATCTATGAATGAGGAAATTTCTGAAAGTATCGCGGATCGCGTGAACACTTGATTTTATCGAAGATAAGGGAAAAGTGAGAAAAAGGATGCTTCTACTCACTTCTCTTCTAGAAGTGGGAGAAGTGGAAGACAAAGAAACGTCTATCTTTTTTTATTAGCGACATTTTTTTGAGAAGACAAATCGGAAATACGTTATCTCATATCAATCACATTTCGATTCGGACATCCTGTATATCGGACGGTTTAAAAATAGATGCGATATGATTCTTCGCGTCGACGCATTTCATCAAGAAAGATAAACGCGGGCCTGCCAAATTAAATTCCGACTGATTTTCGAGAAATCGTCTTAATGAAATAATTAAGTTAGATCTGATCAAATACATTGATCAGTCCTGGGCTTTGCGTAAATAAAAATCTTTTCACTGTTCTATTAAGATAAAATCTCATGTGATTAATGTGATTGCATGTATTCAAATGGATATACCTTCGTTATTTAATTTTTGATCAAATGACCTCTTTGCATTTCAATGAATCTATTGAGAAATAATTTTTTGAAACTAATTTTCTAATTGAAGAAAAAATTATTAATAAGTAATTCCTATCTGATTAAAATTTTATATAATAACAATGGTATATTAATGATTGTAAGTTTTTTTGAAGGAATTCATTCTTTTATGTAATATTATATAAAATAAATTAAAATAATATTTTATGTATACATATATATGTAAATTTACATATTATAATTTTTTTACATTTTAATAAAATTTATTTTTAACTTATATATATATATATATATGATTTACTTTTACTTTTCTTTTATAGTTAAAATTTAAAATGATAAAGTTTGAAACGTTTCTTATTTCGTGCTGTAAATAATTGCCCAGATCTGTTCTTGTTGTAGCAGCATCAACATTGATATTCCGCAGAACAATCATCATTCATCAGAAAGATCTCGAACTCTGTTGGGATTGAATAATCTATCGTTGTGTTCATAGATCACCTTCTGGATGGCTCAGTGTTTATCTACCTCAGGATCAGGATATCGAGCGAAAAATATCGATACCTGACTTATCGGAAGATGTGTATTCATAGTACATTTGTATCGGAAAAGAAGTATCGATAACAAGCATCCGAGAGAAAAAAAAACAAATCAAGAAGTTTTGTAAAAACTACATTTTTTTAAGTTTTCCATTTTTCATGTAATTCTTTTTATATTTATATTCAATGATAACAAACAAAAATGTAATTATAACTAAACTTGTTACATATTATTTAACAACTGAAAATGATTGAAATACAAGTCGTACAAGTATAAGTTATACAGTTATCAAAAAATTTTGTTTATTTATTCGTAAATTATTCCATAAACTAAAAGTAAGTTTAAAAATTAGCTAATATTAAAAGTTATTTACTATTCACATCTTATTTGATTGAGTCTAAAGATCAATAGACAAAGATGTAATAATATTTTATTACAAAACAATATTTTATCACTGAAAATTAATTAAAAATAATTAATTAAAAAAGGAAAAGTATTAATGAAAATATCGATACTCTTTCCGAGTTTCTTTCATTTTTTTCATCTTACACACATTTGTAATGTTGATAGAATGCATCAATAAATCATATGACGATGAAAAAAAAATCCGACTTTATCATTAACTCTCGAAACTGCTCGGATCCCGTTCCCACGTTTCACGTGGTGCGATGTGCATGTCGACAGACAAGAGCCGGTTATAAAGCGTTATCGTTTTTCAAACATGTTGTATCTAATTTTCGCATACTATACTATTGACCGATACTCCGGCTCAAGGTAGGCAAGAATTAAGATAGCGTTAAAGTCAGGCAAATTTAAGTTCGCTTTGCGATCTATACCGCAACTACGCGCCAATACGTCTGAAATATCAAGAACGACCGGAAAACTTGCAGATACATCCTGTTGTGGATAATAAAATATATATGGATATATACGAGGTGTCGCACACAGACGTTCGTTCGTTTGAAAAGAATTATTCAATCCAAGTGTCACTGAAAATCCGATACACTCAAGTCAGGATTGAAGGATCGCATGAATGCAGGAACTATGATGTATATATAGTGTTTTGGAGATTTTTTCTTCGAGATTTTAATCGTCCAAATACACAGCTCAAAACGGAAACGAATAATAATTCGACGAATTCTTTTCAATGGAAATTAAAATCACAATTTGTCATAATTATATTTATTTTACTTTAATCCGTATAGATATTTAAGTAAATATATTTAAAATTGTTCCTTTTTTGGTAAATTGAATTTGATTTCAAATTAACATGCATTTTTTAAATAAGTAAAATTAAATATAAGTATGGAGAAAAAATGCAATAATTATTTTACGTACGAGATACATGATAAATATTTATTCATATGAATCCAAAACACTGAAAGCATCGTGCAAATAAGACATTGTTTAATTAAGTATTATTGCAAAATAACAATCGAGACAGTCGATAAAATGCGGTGAATGTATTACCGACTCGGCGTTACAACGTGTTCGGTACAACTGTATCTATTCTTGCTTGTCGATTTATCGGTGTAAACCGAGAGCGTTGAACGTTCTACTCGAATGCAAAACGGGTTGCTGCTCCACACACAAAAGGGGCTAACATTGTTACATCGATGCTACGCTGAAAAAAATGTTTGGTTGAAAATGGACAAACCAGAAAAAATTCTGATTATATCAATCAGAATTCCGATTATCTCCACTAGAATTTTAGTAGATTTAACCAGAAAATTTTTTGATTAAATTAACTAGAAAATTTTCTGGTTAAATCTACTAAAATTCTAGTGGAGATAATCAGAATTTTTTCTGGTTTGTCCATTTTCAATCAAACATTTTTTTCAGTGTAGTTTGACTGGTATATACAGAGCGTTTCATAAATACGCGTCAATACTTTAGGAGGTAAATCTATACATTAAAACAATTAAAAAACGTCATATGAACATACGTCCTACATATGACGTCCTACATACTTTAGTTTTCAAGTTATGGACAATTAAAGAAAATATTCGAAGTATTCGTCTCGTGCGTCAACACACGTAATCTACCTCACG